GGTGTCCCTGCACGGCATAGCCCATAGTTTCTCTGAATTACTCAAGCCCCTTCGCCACGACCAGGCAGCAATCCATGAAGGGGTCTCAATTTTAATATCATTTAAATGTGACCATAAAATTCCTCCTTGGCTTGTTTCATTGGAAACTTACATTTTACTTTTGTTTTTATTGGTTTAGAGCAAATAGTATTGCATTCAGTAGCTTGATTGACTGTGAATGTAACAGAATTATTTAAACTTGTTTTAAATAGAGTATATGTTTAATCTGAATCTGTATCATTAAAAAAAACTTCTAAGTGTCCCAAATGGATTTGACTCTCCTAATTTTACCTTTTCATTCTAATTTTAATGTGTTTTACAAAGTGATTTGAACAAATCAGTCAGTTATTTGGGGTACTAATCATATTGAACTGCCCTGCTAATTTTCCCTTAAATTGTATACTGAGTTTGGTAACATTTTTTTCTCCAAAGTGCAAAGTTGTTATAAGTATGAATAAATTCTTTGAACTACAATGCAGTCTGTTTGTGCAATTATCAATTTCTTTGAAAATGTATATTATTTGTAGCAGTAAAGATTTATGCTAGTGTCCTGTTGAGCTTCTAATGAATAGAAACATGTTTTGCCATAGTAAAATGGGCTTGTACCATCTGCACAAGCATTGCCGTTGCACAGGTGGAAGATGGGTTTTCTTTGTGAAGATTTCTGTTTGCACAACAGCAACACTTGGAACAACATGTGTGTTACTATGCTTGTGGGACTCTGTGAAGTGACAGCTAAGCAGGATGTGCCCCCAGATTTCTGATTTAAAATTGGCCCATATTTCACAAGATACATACTTGTCCTCCTAGGGGGAGGACCATAATCTATCAATCTGACCACATTTTAGATCAGGCCTGTATTTAGTTTATATACTGTATATTATTTTGCCACAGTTTGAATGTCAAAGTCTAATGAATGAAGCTTCTTCGAAAACAGAAGGACAGAATTAAAGAAGGATCAAAACAAGTATCTTGCTAACTAACTATTACAAGCATGTGTATGTGGACTGTGACTGCATAAATTAATTGAATTAACATCCTTTGGTGTTTGGAAAAATATAATAGAAGTAAATGTAAATTAATTTCAAGTCCTATTGTGCATTGGAGAAATTGCTTTCCCTCTTTCTGACATTGTTTATTTTTAGTTTGTAATGATAAAATGTGTTGGATCCAGCCCTTCCCCTGCCAGTTGGTGTGTTCTCTGATGCTTTGTGTATGTTAAATGTTGCCCATTTCCTGCTTCCTGTGCAGCCACTGCTGCCATCACTGATCCTTTGCTGGAGGGCCCAAAGCCCTCTAGAGGAGGTTTTCAGTAAAATTGAAAAATCAGTGTATTCTTTCCCACTGTAACACCTCTGCTAAATGAGATTCCTCCTGTGGAGGCACATGCTGGTTTCAGGCCATTGTAACTTGGAATATTTCTTAAAATGAATTTTAAGTTTCTAAATCAGAGAAACTGAGAAATAAAGGTTTGGCACAATCAATGACCCTTCTGATTTTTAAAAAATGTTCTTCGGAAGTAACAGTTACAATGTAGTATGCTTTTCCTGTTACAGGGTTTGAGGAACAAGCCAAAGAAAACTGGACATGTAAAACCGGATCTCATAGATGTTGATCTTGTAAGAGGTAGGGATTGATCTCTTGAAAACAGGATGTAACATTAACCAGTATGTCAGCTTACATAGTGTATTTCAAGCTATGCTTTTTCTTGTTGGAAATAAAGATACAGTGGTGCATCGTATAACGAGTGCCCCGTTTAACGACAAATCCGCATACCAACGCGGATTTTGCGATCGCAAAAGCGATCGCATTACGATGTTTCCTATGGGGAAAAATCGCTTTGCGATTTTTCCCCATAGGCCCCATTTCCCCCCAGCTGGGCGGCGCTTGCTTGCAAGCGCTGGCGGTGGACGCTTCCCTGGAGGTTGCTCTGAAGTCAGCGCCGCCCAGCCTTCAGAGCAACCTCCGGGAAAGCGTCCACCGCCGGCACTCGGAACCTTCTCCCCCCAGCTGGGCGGCGCTTGCTTCCGAGAGCCGGCGGTGGACGCTGAGGTTGCTCTGAAGGCTGTGCCGCCCAGCTGGAACGGATTATCCAGTTTTTAATGCATTCCTATGGGAAATGGTGTTTCGCTTAACGATGTTTTCCCATACCGATGTTTTTTTTTGGGAACCAATTAACATCGTTAAGCGAGGCACCACTGTATATCAGAAAAAGTTAATGATTTTTTAAACATTATGATATAATTAGTACTAAAATTAGAGTAAAAAACTAGAGTCTTGAATACAATACCTTTTTTTTAATTAAAAAAATCACCCGAAGGATATTTAGATTGAATCCAATAAACTTTCTTCTGCCTTCATATTGATGGAACTAAGGGAAGCCATAAGAAGATGTAGGACTGGCAAAACAGTGGGGCTCGGTATCCAAATCAGGCAAATGAAACATTTTGGGCAAAATATAAAGGAATGGCTCGCTCCTTCAACTTTTTATTAACTGCTGGACAAGAAAACAGATTCCAAAAATATGATGAAAGATTAAAGTAATCACTATACTGAAGTGAGGCAAAGAACCATCAGACTCCAAAAGCTACAGGCCAATCTCTCTCCTATATTCCACTTAAACAAGGTGTTTGAACGAATGATATTAAATCATTTAATCCCTAAAATTGAACCTCTTCTAATTGCAGAATCATAAGGCTTTCAACTTGACAAGAGCTGTGTGGATCAAATTTTAAATCCATCCCAGCATAAAATAATTGGAGTAGCATTTGTCAACCTTACCGCAGTGAATGAGACTGTCCACCATCAATTGCTGCTTAAAAAGCTCTACCTCCGTATTATAAGATAATTCACTAAAAAAATATTCACCATTCCTCTTCTAAAAACATGCCAAACAAGTGGCTGTAGTTCTTAATTAATTATGCAGGATTATTATTGGCTTCCTGAAGCCTACCCCCACTGAAAATGTTTTATTATTTGGCTGGCATTGCCATTTCAGAAGTAAATCAAATATTGCTAGAAAATAATGAACAAAATAAGGTAATACAGCACCATGGATATCAACCCCCTGCACACATCTCTAGCTGTAAATATTAAACCAGGCTAGGCTAAACCGATGGAGAGAGGACAAAAAGCAACCTTCCTGAATGGATGAAAGCTGAAGAGTATCTCTCACCAGGACAAGACTTTACGTGAACCATCTGGAAAGTCACTTACTAGACTCCAAAGTTAAGTAGGATGATAAAAGAATTATCAAGTAAAATGGGGCTACTTGAAGACAGGGCAAAATTTCTGGGACTGTGGAGAAATTCACTCTATGCAGCACTTATGTACATGCAATTTATGCCCCATCTCGTGTACAGTAGGACTTTTGTATCTGCAGGATCAGTATCCACAGTTTAACTTATCCATGGTCTGAAAATATTAAAAATATTAGAAGAAAAATATCAAGGAAAAACATTTTTACATGTATTACCAGAACCAGCCACTAAAGGGAGCCAGAAACTGTGCTATGTATACATAGTGAAGAATACATAGCATGGCTTCTGCTGCCATCTAGTGGTCAGTGTTGGTAATGCATGTGAAAATGATTCCCCCCCTTTTTTTTTCCTTTTAACATGGTAAAAGGAAAATATATGTATGATGAACTCACATAGTTCATCATATAGGAAGAGACCAATTTCATAACTCACATAGGAAGAGACCAATTTCTTCCTCCACAGACAACTTTCTATTGGATTTTTTGCATTTCTTTATATCCATATCTTATGTGTGAAAGAGAGATTTGCATTTTAGAAAATTAGGAACTGAAAATCCATTGTAGTGCAAAACAAATAAGTAATTTGTTTTTCTTCTCTTTAGGCTCCGCCTTTGCTAAAGCTAAACCAGAAAGTCCCTGGACCTCCCTGACTCGAAAGGGTATTGTTAGAGTTGTGTTCTTCCCATTCTTCTTTAGGTGGTGGCTACAAGTGACATCAAAGGTTATTTTCTCCTGGCTCCTTGTTCTTTATCTTCTGCAAGGTACAACTAAAACAAACACTACACCATAATAAAAGCAAACACTACACCTTGTTTTTTTGAGTCTAAATCAGTCATTGTCATTTATTCCTTTAAAGTGTTAATTACCTGAAAAGTAGAAGTTGTAGTAAAAAAGAAAAAAAAACCTAAATTATAGCCATTGAAGCAATAATGAAGTACTGTGACTGTGTAATAATAAGAAAAGGGATTCTGTTCAGTAGGTATAATTTTGGCACTGTCTGAAAATATCAGAGATTAACATAGAAGATAAAATCTGGTTTATATTAATGAACATACATTCCACAGATTTTAGCTGTAGAAGGTATCTGTTATTTGTATAGGGTATAATATTAATTACAACCAGATTTGTCCCTTTATTGGACATTTTATAGACTTCCTGTTAATCACAATATTTTCCTGTTAAATTTTTTAAAATACTTGATAATAGAACAATATGCAGCCTAGTTTAAGATCCACTGATATTAATAACAAATTTAAACCCTTAAATCTTCTGCATTGATACAAAATGCTTTATTTTAGTTTATGTTCATTTCTGGCTTAATTGAACAATGGTTTCGAGAAATAAGAGTAATTTTTTTTAGTAAGCAATAAATCTGCTGTTTGTTTAATTGTGAATTATTGGCATAACATAGTGCTTTACTTTTTCTTCTTTACTTTTTCTTTCAAAAGTTGCTGCAGTAGTATTGTTTTATACAATAGAAGGCCCACATAATATACCTCTGACTGAAGTAATAGGGCCAGTATGGCTCATGTTGCTCCTTGGAACTGTGCATTGCCAGATTGTTTCAACAAGAACACCTAAACCATCTCCAAGTACAGGAGGCAGAAGGAGAAGGTACAGTTTGTGCTAATGTTGTGGGCCCTTTATGAATGCATTTGCACTGATATAGTTCAGGGAAATACCTAAGTATTCCAAAGGCTTTGCTTAAAGTCTGATATTATATGCTTGTATTGTCCTTTTAATAAAATTTTATTATAGCCCCTAAAAATTGCAGTGTTTGCCCTGTAAAAATTGTTACGTTTGTTAAATTACACCCAGGACACGTTAGTATCTTACATCGGAGAGTAAAATAATATAGTTAAATATGTGCAAAAGCAAACACTGACTCTAATCCCCTCAAAACTAAAATGACTAAACAAAAGCTTAAAATGCATAATGGAGAGGATTAATTTATGTTCATACATTTTTTATTTTGGGGGGCTGGTGATGTGTAGTTCATAGTATTCTGTTCTTGGGCAGTGAAGAAAAACAATTATCTTCTCATATAGAATATGAAAGCATTTATTAAGCCTAGTGTTTGTTTGCATGCTTATAAGATCACTGACCATGTTTTAGTGCTAGTGAATGACATTTACAAGAGACTTTCCACTTTTAATCTCTTCTGATGAAGGAAATTAAGGAAAGCAGCACATTTGGAAGTACATAGGGAAGGCGATGGCTCTAGTACTACAGATAACACACAGGAAGGAACAGTGCAGAGCTACGGTACAAGCACCTCTTACAGTATTGGCGCTGTCTTCCGAGATATCTGGCATGCCGCTTTCTTTTTATCAGGGTTTGTATTTTATTCAAGGCTACGTTTGTCTTAAAGATGCACTATCCCTTTTGTGACCTCATAAACTTTAATCTGTGTTTTCAGCCTTTGTACATTCAGCTAAACATTTTTATGTCTGATTTATAACTCTTCGATATAACTGTATCACAATATTTTGGCACCTGTGTTCTCCATATTATTGCCAGTAAATCTCTGATGACTTGGATGAGAAATTTTTTGCACAAATCCAAAGGTCAAGAAGAAACAAATCCTCAGGTTCTGTTCTTCTGACCCTGCTTGTTTTGCAGTGCAGGATTCCTTATTCTGTCTTTGATAATATTTGTGGTTCTTCAGTGGAGTGGTCTTCAATCTGTCCAGATCCAGGATTCCTGTGTAAAGTGAGCCTACAAAGTAGAGCCCACTTTTATTTATTTTCCCAAATTTATTTGAAGATGTAAGGAAAAGCATTATTTACTTCATTAGGCTGATATTTCAGTGACTACATAATTGAAGACTGATGTTGATTCGAGTCTCAATTCAGAGATCGAATATCATCATGCATTTGCTGTTGAATTTTAAACTTTACCAAATAATGACAGTTGGTTTCTTAAAAATCAGTTCACATTCCAGAAAAGATCTTTTAAAAAAATAGCTTAGAATAGGGCTGAACATCCTATTACTTACACCTGTGAACAAAAGACAATTGGTGTAAATCTCAAGTTGGTGTATAGCAGCAGGCCTGCCCATGCTAACTTCTTAACTTACAGCAATTTGCCAATGAGATCTAAGCCAGTTGTGTTTTGCTGATGTAAAAACCCAATAAGATTTTGACCAGAGCAATGGTAATTTTTTAAAATCTGGAAAGGGATAGTGTAATTTACTTGTATGTTTTGCATATTCAGATTGTTGTACTGATCTGTGTCATACCTGTTATCGTAAATAACTGTTATTTGTTGAAAACTTAAATTACTGTCTTTGTGTATTACAGTCATGTGGAAAAGAAAGTACACCCTTTTTGAATTTTTATGGTTACCAGGACATAATAAAAATCATGTGGTCCTTAGCAGGTCTGAAAATTAGATACATACAACCTTGAATAAACAACAGCACATGACATATTACATTGCATCATGGTTTATTTAATAAAAATAAAGCCAAAATGGAGAAGCCATGTGTGAAAAACTAAATACACCCTTAATGCTTCCATAGAAATTAAGAGGCTAAGTAGCAGCTAGGTGCTGCTAACCAAATGCCCTTGAGTAATTGATCATCAGCAAGTGTGACCATCTCTATAAAAGCCGAGATTTTAGTAGTTTACTGGTCTGGAGCATTCAGGTGTGTGTTAACACAAGACCAAGGAGGAAACACATCAGCAATGATTGTGAAGAAGCAATTGCTGCCGTCCATCGTTCTGGGAAAGGTTAGAAGGCCATTTCCAAACAATTTAACGTTCATCATTCTACAGTGAGGAAGATGATTCACAAGTTGAAAACATTCAAGACAGTTGCCAGTCTTCCCAGGAGTGGACGTCCAATGAAATTCATCCCAGGATCAGACTGTGCAGGGTCAGAGAAATTGCAAAAAAACTCAAGTTGCATCTCAGATTCTACAGGCTTCAATTAGCATGTGAAATGTTAAAGCTCACGACCATACAACTAGAAGACTGAAGAAATATGGTTTGTTTGGAAGGGTTGCCAGGAGAAAGCTTCTTCTCCCTAAAAATAAGATGGCAGCAAGGCTTAGGTTTGCAAAGTTGCATTTGCACAAGACTTCTGGAACAATGTCCTTTGGACAGATGAGACCACAGCGGAGATGTCTGGCCATGATGCACAGTGCCATGTTTGGCGAAAACCAAACACAGCATATCATCTCATACCAACTGTCAAGCATGGTGGTGGAGTGGTGATGATTTAGGCTTGTCTAGCTGCCCCAGGACCTGGGCAGCTTCTGTCATTGAGTCAACTGCAGATTCCTCTGTATACTAAAATATTCTAAAGTTTAATATGAGGCCCTCTCTCCAATAGCTAAAGCTTGGTCAAAATTGGGTCATGCGGCAGACCAGCGCTCCCAAGCACATCAGCAAATCTACAACAGAATGGCTGAAAAAGAAAAGAATCATGGAGTTGCAGTGGCCCAGTCAAAGTCCAGACCTCAACGTGATTGAAATGCTATGGCCTTAAGAGAGCTATGCATAAACAAATGTCCACAAACCTAAATGAACTGAAGTAACATTGTAAAGAAATGTGGGCCAGAATTGTTCCACAGTGGTGTGAAAGACTGATAAAATCATTCAAAAATTATTACTTTTAAGTTATTGCTGCTGAAGGGGTTTCTACAAGCTGTTGAATCATAAGGTGCACTACGTTTTTCACACATGGCTTCACCATTTTATTTTTGTAAAATAAATCATGACACAGTGTAATATTTAATGTATTATTTTTCATTCAAGGTTGTATGTATTTGCCTAATTACCAGACCTGCTAAGGACCTGATGATTTTTATTATGTCCTGATACATAAAACCATAACATTCAAAGAAGGTGTACTTTCTTTTTCACATGATTGTGTTTATTGCTTCTTGCTGCAATTTTAAGTACTCCAGGGATTATTTCATTTCATTTTAGTTTTTCATAAAGGAGCTTATTTTTCACTGTAGAAGTTTAAAAGAAGCAAGTAAGCTCATATTTTTTAAAAAAAGTTTGGCTATATTTATATTTATTTTTCTGATTTTTAGCACAGACATTCTTCTCAATCTGTTTGTGATTTTTTTAAATCAAATACATATCTCTGTGTGGACATACACAAAAACTCATACCCAGATTTTGGATCTGCATACATGTTTATCACAAAATATATTAATTGTTTTTGATTGTCAGTTCATATTCTGTTCTTAGCCATCAGATTTAAAGAAACTGTAAATGGTAAAAAATTCTTGAATAGTAAACTCCTGATAATATATATGTTTCTTTAAATAAATGCAAACTATAATTGTAAATATTAGGGATGTGCGAATACATCCTGACTAAATTTGTATTCAATTATTCATCATACAGATTGTGACTGAGTCTCTCAGAGTTCTTTTGAGTTGGACTGAACCATTTTTTCCTCAGATTTGTGCATGTATTTGTACATTTCTAACTAGCATTAAAAAAAAACAAATAAGAATGAGAAAAAGAAAACCTATGTGGACAGGGAAATCAAATAACAGTGATCTAGGATTGTGATGCTGCACAGTTCCATCAGTTTTGGAAATTTATTGGATCTTAAGTAGAGAGTTCAGTTTGCTTACATTTCAGACTGCTATGCATTTTTTCTGGTGTGGGAAAAAGCCTCTAAGGAAGCATTTTGTACCAGGAAAGGAATAATCTGGTAGACCCCTCTTAACATAAAGCACCAGAGGTGTTTGGCACAGAATCCAGAGATTGTGTTCTATATGGCTGATTAGGATAGATAATCTATCCTTCAATTAGGATAGATAATTTACCTTCTAGAGATGTACATGGCAAGACAACAAGTTTCTTATTTCTAGCAACAATAGAATGCGCCAGAGGTCTAAAATGAACAGAAAGGCTGGCCCTGAATTGAGAAACTTAATTTATTCATAAAAGAGTAAGATTCTAAAATGCAACAGATAGTATGAAAGTGATGCTGCAGCCTCTCCTAACACTGTGAAAATGTGAAATGGCTGCCCAAGAAGTTGGAGCAGAATATACAGACTCCAGCTTTCTCACTCTGAGCCCTCGGTCAAAGCAGTTGGAGTTCCTAGTAGGACTTTCAAACTACATTGATAGTTCAGCTGTTAGTAGTCTCCTACGGCATTTCCCCCTATCCCCCTATTTTAATTCCAGTACTACTGGAACAAACTGCATCATCTGTTGACTGGCCCACCTTGGAGGTGATTGGGGATACAGTATGTTGCTGTATCCCATCAGAGGCCAGAGAGAGAGGTACAAGTACCGTTGACTTGGTTCATTTTGCAAGTTTTCTCTGAAGACAGTGCACATCCTTAGTAAATACTGTAACAATTTTGTGGATAATCTTTCAGGAGTTGCAAAGAAAAGAATTCCTGTTCTTATAGGTAACAGAGAAGTTGTGATTAACAATTGCAATAGTACTGATTGTTACTTTCACCCGTGCCCCTGTTTCTTCTTCTCACAAACCCAGGGTTCATCTTCTCACAAACCCAGGGTTCTTTCACTGCAACCAGTGGATTGCTTTATCCACACTGTAAAGGACTTTACTCTGACACTGGCTGCCAGCACCAGAACTTGTCTATTAAAGGGTATTTTAGAGTAACTCAGTATCACAGATGTTCTTTATTCATTTCATAAAATCACAGTCATTGAAGTTTCGTATATGTTCTGCCACACATTCGATCACCTCCTGCTTTATTTATTCTCTTTAACCAGTTTATCTTGTTAGTTACAATTTTCAGTCTCTCTCTCTCTCTCTCTCTCTCTCTCTGTGCAAACCTCTCTCCTTCTCTTCTCACTCACTCTCCCTCTCTAACTGCCTTAACTGACTCTCTGCCTCCGCCCCTCCTGTCCTCTCATAGCCTATGCAAATGAGCTCCCGCTATTAGTGACAGGCGTGACGTGGGGCATCCGTCACACTGATGTTCTAATATTCTGATCTAATATTCATTAACTGTTGTTTCCCTCACTAGTGATATCTTTAATTTAGTGGTATGTCGTATGTTTAATTTATTATTATTATGATTCAAAAACACCAGGCACAGTCAAT